GGTCGTAAAAACAAACAGCCAAAACTATTCACAACATGTAAGGCAGACCCTGGCTATAGCTGGGAAATTGCCAGGTCGAAGAAGACTTTATGTCACAAACTATTTATGCTACAAATATTTTTTAAATAGCTGCGAAGTTAAAGCTTTGACTGAGTCTGGATTCTCATTCGCACAAGCCTGACATAGACTTTAAAAACTATGGTCGCTATTAGCTCTAAGAGGTCAGCCTCGAGAACCACTGCGCTCAAACTCAGAAACCGTGTGACGTGGGTTACTTCAAGAAAACGCGTAAGTAGCTTGAAAAATCTCAAAACAATCGATTGAGATCACAACTCAATAAAACCTTAATTTCTTCTGACAGAAATGAACAGCTAGCTTTTGCTAACCTCTCTCTACTGAACATACATAAACCACAAAAGTCAATGATCCCATCAAGCAGCTGCTAGTTTATTAGTTTGCAAAACTCTCGTGGTAAATAAGAAACAGCTTAGAACAGAGTTGCTTACTTCCAAAGTCGTCTATACATCTTATTTTCTAGTAAAAATAAGACGAGCCTTAAAAGTAAGTATACTCTTTTTTCTTTACTTGGGAGTAACCATACAATTAACAAACTGTGGATTATACAATACAAAATTAAGCGTGTAGCAATATCTGCAACCTGGTGTAAAAGAAACTCTGATTTCCTAGGAATATCCGACTTCATATTATAGTCAAGGATTTCAGGGCAATCTTGGAGAATTTATTCGAAACCGCGATATAGTATTCGAACCCCCTCATTGTTAAAACGGTCGGATACTCCCAATCCCCAAGCTTCCCATTAGAAAAGAGATATCTTAAAGATTTAATCTTAGATCCTAACGTTAAAATAAGGAATGTCATAATAGACATACATATTAATCTTTTTAATAACTGTTTTTTTTTTTATTATTTTAGAAATACATTACTCCGATGTTTCGGTTACTTTACAGCAACGGAATAAAATATCCCGTCGTTGCCTGCTTATGTAGTTATAAAATAATAATAAGAGCTTAGTGTCCGCAAAACTTAGCATTATTACAAGCATCTGTTCCCACTTCATATACGAGTACGTTGATAAGATATTTTGTTGTCGGAAGAACTTCTCGCCAACTCGTGAACGATAGAATACCGTAGAATAAGTATGTTTATTTGTGAATTAATCCTGTTTTGCCTCCTTGACTTCTGACATCTGTTTTGTTACTTAAATAATGCAACACCTTACCACGGCTAAATATTTTGCAGAACAAATTATGTCACATTAATTTTCATCTATAAAACTACAAATGAGACGTAAATAGAGACAGGATTTAGCATTGAAATATGTAGAAATGCAACAGAATTAACGTTCCACTGGTAATATTTCTTAATGCCGGTAATGGATCGTGCATGTTTCGCTCGTTTAAATGTTACTATGAATGTGCATAGAAATAATAAAAGGACACATTTTCATACATTGTACAATAAAACTTGAGGAACTATAAGACGTCCTTTTTCATTCAACAATTTTCAAGATTTTCAGACGCATATATTTTTAAATTCTTTCCTAAATGAAACTCTTCATAAAATGTCAATATTATATACATTTCAATAGACAATGTTACTGCGATTTAAGTTAAAGTTGGTTAAAGAATTATGAACATAATAAATAATCAGAAACCTTAATCATGAAATACAATTTTATTTTAAATACTTATTACTCGTTAATGTTTAATATTCTCATTTATGTTAAAGTAGGAATGATGTTTGATTAAATTATAGAACTGGAGAATTTAACTTATTAATCGAAAATAAGCGCTGACACGTTTTTAATAAGTTGTAGGTACTTTTTAATATGATATTAATTTATTCAGAAACAAGAAAGATATTTAATATGACATTATATTATTGTACTAACAGTATTATACAATTATATATTTTCTTGAAACTAAAATATGTCAAACTGTAACAACAAAAGTAACAAACAGGATTCATTTACGGTCCATATAAATGTTGCTTCCACTTGCTTAAATATGTTTGTTCCCATCTTTTAACTAATAGTAGTTTAACGACATGCAAAACCATTTAGACTTAGTAGTATGAGAGTAGTATTTTGCAGCAAAATATATAGATATAACATACCTAATAGTATTAGGCATTTATTATATAAAATCATAGTCCTAAAAATTAAGTTAACTTGAATTTTTTTATCATTCTCTGATATAACATTAATTATTATGTATGTTATATTAAGCGATACGAACTCGATACGATACGAAAATGAAAGTTGAAAAATAATTATTTATCTATATATCTATCTATATATACAAAAATGAATTGCTGTTCGTTAGTCTCACTAAAACTTGGGAACGGCTGAACGGATTTATCTTATCTTAATCTTGAAATGTTCGTGGCGGTTTAAAAGTTGAAAAAATTGGATTCATTTCCGGGAAAACCCTAAAAACAGCCTTTTTCTATTTCCCATACAAACGGTTTTCTTTGACATTTAACAACTAATTAATATGTCAATCATTCTATCGCACCTCAGAACACGAGATTTACGGCTTAAAGGTAAACTCCAAAAATATAAATAAAAAAATCAGAACAAAGAAAAAATATTACGTTTGACGATATTGTATTACTATCATAGTTACGATATTCTAGAAGTGCATCCATCTATCTTTGTGAGTGATGATTACAACTACATGGGTTAGAACTTTCTTTACTTTTGTGATCCTTTGTGATAGTAACATATGTATTTTCTAAGAGTATTTAGACATCACTGATAAATGCATTCCCAAACAGGGTACAGGTCAGGCGGCGGCTGGTCGTAAAAACAATTAGTCAAAACTATCCACAACATGTAAGGCACACCCTGCCTAAAGCTGGGAAATTGCCAGTAATAAGAAGAAGATAGACTGTAGGGATATGGTTGAAAATTGGTGAAGAGTAAATTTAGAACAAGAAGGCGGAGATAGGATATTTAAATGTCTTCGATTGAAACAGGAAAAATTTAATAAATACCAATACCTGGTTATTTATGGCCTCTAAGACGGAATAGAGTTCGCCTGGTCAGCTATACATATGTATATTACTAATGACGAAATTAACGCGGACGAAGTCGCAGGCAAAAACTAGCATTAATAACACAAATTTAAAATAATATAATGAAAAATAATAATATTCACTAGTATTGCTTTTAAGTGTGTGCGCATTTTATTACTTTTTTTGTTGTTTTAATACTTTCAATTGTTCAAAAAGAAAACTATGTAGCGTTATTATGCTGATACATTTTAAATTTAGCTTTTTTGCCTTTTACGTATTTTATACCTTGTATTTCATGTTTGGTTAAAGAAATCTTAACTCAATAATAACCCTGAATGGATTCTTTCTTATATAATGATGGTTTTAGTTGAGATGAGTATTGATACTGATGTGACAGGTTGGATCAGTTTATCGCCGTATAATAAAAGATAAAAACATACGTTGAACCGCAGATACTTAGCAGCCGGAAGTTATAATCTCACTCTTTTCCATTCCATTAGTTACGTCCTTCATCATTCTCTGTTCCTAAAAATATTAGTATGGAAACGCTGTTGTAATAATAATTTTAGGAATCAAAATGTACGAACAATATCTATAACAAAAAATACACTTGAATGGTTTGAAATGAGGTTATTATGTAAATAGGATATAATTTTATCTCTAACCAAAACCCATATATGACAAAGCAATTTTTATATCTCTATTACAAAGAATTTAAACGATTATCACGACCAAGCGAAAACATTTAAAGGAAAAATGTAATCGTGATTATTACATAAAAATAACAAAACTTCATGAATACAAAATGGAATTCACAACAGAAAGCCTTTAAATACTGTCTATCAGAGTCGTGACTTTAAATAAAATCAGTAAACCACTGGCTTATATTATTATATTTAAATGATATAACAATAAATAAAAATATGCTATCGTTTTGGAACTGGCCATAAAACGTTATACTTGCAAATATTAGATATATTCAGAAATAAACATGTTATTAAAACGTAATAAAACGTATTCTAGGAGTATTTAGACACCACTGACAGACCGTGAAGGACAACATCTCGAGAAAACCTGGACTTAAAATTTTACAATTGGTGATTAATACTCAAACTTTCTCCATGTGAGAAGAGGCCTTTGTTCAGCAGTGGGCTCTGATAGGCTGATGACGTGACGACTAAAACATACTAATGAGTGATTTTATGTTTAAATAAGACAGTGTCATTGGAATTTCTTCCTAAATTTTATTTGTATTCTTTATTTTTTAATTGTGATATATAATATACATACTACATAAATACTACATAAAATAAGTAAACTATTATCTTTACTTCTATACCTACTACAATAACCGGCTAAGCTATCTACATATTTTTGTATAAGCTATTTAAAATTCGAAGCAGGGTTCTTGTAAGATATAATAAATCTTCTAGAAATGTTTTGTGCCGCATTTTAATCTACATTTGATTTAGTTATAGATACAATTAAAAAATCTAATCGAGCCGATAAAAATAGTAGGACAAAGTTCAGCAGAATGTTAATGATAATATTATGGTTTTCTAAACTATTTCTCGGCTTTTTATTAGGAGAAAATATATTATAGGGAGGTGAAATATAAAAAAAACAATGAAATATAAGGCGACAAACTCACAGAGGATATGTATGTATGTATATAATATATTTGTCACGTATGTGACTTTTGGGGAATATTTATATTGATGTACAATTATCAGATCCAAGAACGTTTTTATCCTAATTATTAGTGGAATGTAGTAACAAACATTATTCGTAGAATTAACAAAAAGCTTGTTGGTTCCGTCACATTCTCGTTTGAGGAAACGCTTTACTGCTTCACTTAGGTATCATTTAAAACATTTTAAACAATCTAGAAAGAATGTTTTTCAACTTAAAATGATCTTAATTTCTTATCAATTAAATATTAGTAGTAGTTATCGAACGATTTATCCTGATGACGAAGATCTCAACACAGCGTAGATGCTGTAAGCGGCACGAACTATCTGAAAATATTATTATTTATATATATTTAAATTATATGTGTATGTGACGATACCAAAATTGACTGTGTGAACAAATTGTGCAGGGAGTAAGGGAACATATTTTTGTCCGTATATTAATTTAAAAGGCGTGTGCACCGAAGATAAACATGTTTTTTGTAAGGATACCGCTAACCGTTATTCATATTGTACCTGGCGCCCATTCAGCAGTGATTTGTGAATGTGGCCATAGAGCCCGACATTCAAAATTAATTGCATATGTAATTGAAATGAATGTGAATAAATCAGCGGTCAAGACTTTAAACCCTTGTATACCCTCCAGTTTGTATAAGATTTTGTTGATTAAGTATAGTCTGATGTCCCATTTTGCATGAAGGCCATCATATGCCAAAGAAAAAATGTTTTTTATTGGTAGAAGCCAGTAACATATAACAGCACCACCCTTGTGGGACAAAATATTTTGCTTTCTGACAGAATTTGTTCGAGTTCTTTTTTGATCTTGTTGTTCGTAACACTTTGTTCCCCTCCAGCTTTTTTTTCTGACATAAATAGAATAGGTTTCACCATATGTATTCAAAGTCCGGTACACAAATACTTGATCATATCAAGCGTATAGGGGATTGTAAAGTTTGTATTTAGTTCCATATCTATGTTACGTAATGCAATCACATCAATTTAGTAATATGTATTATATTAATACATTTTAAGGTCACAAATTATATTACACATATTGAGGAGAAAATAAGAACACAGAATGAGTAGTCGTATAACAATGAAATATGCCATATTCAAAAATAATATTTGGTCTATTTTTAATTGTAATAGTACTGGTCTTACCAGACTAAGTACATACTAATATAAATTACCTGTATAAATGAATGTAAATCTAGTGTGTTGAAGGGTCCTGCAAATATTCTTCGGGGTTGAGACATACCGATACACAAAATGACAAGTTCACGACGTATTTTTGCACTGAGACACCAGCTGGCACTGCAAAAAGGACCCTCGCCCAAACTGACAGAACTCTGCTTGAAAAAAACAGTAACGTATTTTATTTCATAATTATTTGAGAAATTATTCCAACTCTTTTTTGTTTTACATTAAGTATTGACTTATGTTAATTCCATATAATTTAAATGTCGACTAGTAACTCTCAATTTTTTTTAGTATTTTTCTCATATGTCTTTGCTTTCCTTAATTTCTGGTGAAAGATAACCAACCTTTTGTGTACTATAAGCCACATGTATCTTACCTGATAGGAGACGGCGTCACCATAATGACAAAAGAGAAAAAGCTGCGTTAAATTCGCACACATGTATTGTAGGAGAGATATGAGTTGTGTAGTGCTAAGATGCTTCTGAAAAGAGTGAGTTTAGTTAGGTTTTCCATTTTACAGTAATTTTCTTTTATATCCACCAAACTATATCTTTGCTGTTAGTTGATCATTTTTATATATACATATATCATTCAATTAAATATTTATTCCGAGACCAAATTTCTCAGTTTCTTTGGATAGAGAGGTATACAGCGACTTATAAATAATTGCTTTCCATAACCCCAGGGGTATTGTTTTTGTGAGATACAATATAACTTCACACCGCCTGATTTAATGAGAAAAAATATTTTTTTATATGTGATAATCATTACTGTTATTGGTATTAAGCTTACCCATTGTAACTGAACAGCTACCGAACATAATGTTAAAGTTGCTACGAAGAAGTATATGCCTAATATATTCTGCACGAATTCACCGAGATCCTTGAGCGACCTAATGATTAATCATAATATTAATATTTATTTAAAATCGAAATACAATTATTGAAATACACAGAAAAAACAAACACAAAAATACGAAAATTAGTGTGGTAAATTTCAGGAACTATAATTTGAAGGCCTCTCAATAATGGTCAACAAAAAATTTAATTAAATACTAACAAATACCCAGGATTTACACGGTTTCGATTTCAGTGAGTTCTAATAAAATTCTTTTAGTTTACCTTATTATTATAAAGAATGGCAATTCATGTGTGTTGTTTTTTTTGCTAATTTCATGCAGAAGCATCATAAATATAGTAAAAAAAATTGCTACTGAATATCACGTTGGAAAATCGGTATCGTGACCATAAGTATAAGTCAAAGATAAAAAGTACTTTTACCAACTGACCTTAATAAAGCTAGATGAATTTTATGACACTCTTTGATCCTACCATGAGCACGTTCATCTCTCCTCTTCGATAAAAATAAATGATTTCCTTTTCCTCCAATACGACTGCTTAAATCATGAAGTAATGCAAATTGACCTCGTATAAATATCATTAATCCAATAGCAGTTAAATCGAAGGTTTTGTGAATAATGACACAGTATATAGCAGCTACTGCCTCTGTAATGATTGTAACAAAATAACCAAAAATGTTAAAATCCAGTGGAGCCCATCCTTGCAGAATATGAGGATATTTATGATCATTGTTTCCGCTGTAGATTTGAATCCCGTATTCTATAAATGGTGAAACCATATAAATTATGGCCGTAAAATTATAAACTCTGGATAGATTTGTAGAAACGTTATGAAATTGTTTCGTATATGAGTTAATATGGTCACATATAAAGCTGTTTTCTTCTTCTGATTCGTTTTCATTTTGTGTTTCATTCCTTTTTAAATAATAACTTTCTACCGAAGAAGCTTTATTTAAAAGACATCGCCAACGCTTTTGGTAAATCAACAACGATGACAATTTAAGGAATCCCATCGCGCAGAAAGTAAATACACTAAAGCAGGACAACAGTTTTTTTGGGTCGCCTTTAGCCATAAAAAGGGCTACAAATTGGGTGATATTTGTAACAAAAAATGAAAGGATTGATATTTTAACAATCCATTTTATTTCTGAACTATTATTAATAAACCATATCCCTGACTTTCGAATATGTTTTTCAATAATTTCCTTAAAAATTATTTTGCGGTTTATTTTGAAGGAGTCATTTATATGGAAAATTGAATTCCATACCCTCTGAAATAAAAATTTTTAATGTACATTCTTCGACTTCATTATATGGACATATAAATTTACCTACCTTTACTATTGAGTACATTGTGACTATTCAAAAATCTTAACAATACCACTTCGTACTAATATCCACATCAAAATGAACGGTTGTTAAAAAATAATAGCTTAACAAAGTTAGAATTTCATTCAATTATTATGTTTCAAAACTCATTATAACAAGTTTACTGGCAAATTATTTTTAGTTTCAAAAATATTTTATCTCACAAAATAATAATCTTGACTTAAATTGTGCCCAATATCAAATTGATTAAAAAATGTAATAAGAATATGAACGCTTTTTTTAAAATATAGTTATAAAATATAGTGAAAGTAAAAAAATTGAATGAAATATTAATTAATTCTATATATTATAGATTATTAAAGGTTTGGGGAAAAAATGTATATTTTAAAATTATTATATTTTCAGTGTCTGTCTCGTTACCATAGTTTTAAACAATTTTTCACATAACATTTAATAATAGTCGTATATGCATATAACAATTGGACAAACAAAAATATTATAAAAAAATCAAATCAAATTTTTATACATTTTATATACTATCGTAATTATATAAAAAGACAAATAGAAATAATGAAATAACAGTTATAGTTTTTATAAAGGCCACCAATTTTAGGAAGTTTCAAGGAAAAAATAATTAATGTTTCAAGTAATTATTGTATGAAAAATATTTTTTAATGTTATTATGAGCAAGTCATATATTGAAATTAATTTATGTTTCTAACAAAGATTCATTGGTTTTGTATTTTTATAACTATACATTTTTGTGATAGAACGGACCTTTTTTATTATATTACAATCAGTCTATTATTCTTTATTATTCGTAAGAATAAGAGAAATTTAGATGTCCCTAATTGATTTTACTTAAAATATTATTTTAGTTTGATAAATATTTTTGAAATTGGTTTTATATTTCGTTGAAATAATTACATACAAAGATAACTCAAGAAATAATTTGGTTTGAATTTTCAATACACAAGATACGAGTATAATAGGAAGTGATGAAAAAAAAAATTGTTAGGTCACACTATTTTGATTGTGTATCTTTAAATCCATTAAAATTTAGAGTTTAAACATTTTTTTTTGAAACATAACTAAACGATTTACGGTATCCCAAATGCAAAATTTACTACTTGCGACAATATTGTTAGCTATTATGATTGTAAACTATAAATACATACAAGTTCACGTGATAAATTAGTCTCAGTGCAGCATACAACTTCAATAAGAAGGATTAGGAGAATATCTCTCGATATATTGATTAATAATCTAGACTAGTAGTAGTAGACTTTCAAATATAGACATAAATGTATACAACTGTTTAATTAATGACCAAGATTACAATAAGTTTCATTATTAAATGGAAATAGTAACGTGTTTAGAAAATATTCTTTTTATTCAAAGTTAAAATCTTCTTTAAATCATTGTGTAATGACTTATATTAAATAAAGAGTTTTAAAGGAAAATTATGTTTAATTGTTTCAGGCGTATTTGTGGCTTTCAATTTATTACAGTTATAATCAGTGAGTATTTATTATTTTACGAATAGATTGAATAGTACAAAGCATCTGGTATTCTCCTATATTTGATTAACTTTGACGTCAGATATCCAACCGTCAGTTATTTGACGTCATTGTGGTTTAACTGTTAGTTAAACAAAATGTTATACAAACATTTCAACTCCATTGCTTGAAGTTTACCGCTTCTAAATTGTGTTTTAACATAGAGAAGAGAACTAAGTTTAGCCTTTAAAAAGCAAGATGATGCATGCACACGGCACTCTGCCAAAAGAAGTTTTTGTTAGGGGTAAATATATATATATGTGTTCACACATACTTAGACATATATATATATATGTATATACAATATTAAAACAGTAGGAAACATTGTGTATATGAAAATTTAGTCCCAAATAAATTAAAGGACTTGGCATTAGAATAACTAAATTTTATTGCCATTCAGTCGTTCTGTTAATACTTTTAACTGAAACTTATGAACATATTTTCTGTAGATTTATGAAAATTATCCATTGATTATATATAATATATTTCAAAACGAACAAAGTCACGGTATAAAACTAGTACATATTAACACGTCTTGGGCGTCTCAATTAATTTTCCTAGCCGTCACCTCAAGACAGTGATTTTGGCGTCACCGGACCCTCATTATACCTGCTTTGGTTATGACCAGTAATTAGTCACAAATTACAACATGATGGCCATCTTAATATATATAATATTATGTATATGTGTTTATTGTAGTTAAATTTACAGTGAATATCATACATAATATCTTTGAGACACGACTATCGCTCCGCCGAAAGGAAAAATCTTTATATATATATCTTTACGAGACACTAAACAGTTATAAGTAATCTATCTAAATAATATCAAAATTGATACTATATTTCTCCACTTAGAAGATACTAGTGATGAAATAGTGAAGAATATATTTAAAAAAAAAGTGACATTTGATACTGTTTTCAACGCTTCATAACCTGCTGACAAGAAGATATATTTCATTTTATAACTATAAAATCTATATTAGTGAAGGATTCAAACACTCGTTAATAACATCGAAAACGACTACAAATTTTCCACGCGATGGCGGTAGCCTCTAGGTTGGATCAATCAACTAAAACTCACCACCTCAATATAACAATTTTTTTGTATTCCTATCATATTTCAAGAAAAAATTAAGTTTTTACTTTTAAAAAAAAACTACCTCTTACGTATGGATAGAAATAACTGAGAGAGAAATTACTGCACACTTTAAATGAGGATCTTTCCTAATATTAAAACGAATTGAGTTTAATACTGTGAGTTTATGAACTTAATACTACACATTTCTAAGATCAATCTAATGTCAATAGTAATATGGTTATATTACTATTGATACTAGTTCTAGAAGAAGAAGAAGAGTAACAATTGTTAATATTTTTTTACCTTCATTAAAAGATTTAAGGCCATATCCACTCTAATTATGTAAAGCTTTTGTAAGCCACCTTATACCAAAAAATAAGGATTTAATTTTCTTACTTCAAACAATTTATCTAAATAAAAATAAAATTCTATTTTAAGTGAAGGCGTTATTACTCCATACAATCTTGAAATTTCATAACCGTTGTTTAATTTGTTATTAGAAAGATCCTGTGAAATGTATTAATTTTGATTTTGTCTGAATTATCGATTCAAGGACGATTTCCTATATAATGCTTACCTCATTAATAATTTAAACTTATTAATACTATAATGCGCGAAGATTAATGTATGAATTAATTTTATAATGCTTATGACGCTTCTTCTTCTTCTACCTGGCAATTTCACGGCTATAGCCAGGGTCTGCCTTACTTGTTGTGAATAGTTTTGGCTTAATTGTTTTTTTACGACCGGCCGCCTGCCTGACATCAACCCTCTTTTGGGAATCAGAATTAATCAGTGATGTCTAAATATTCTTAGAAAGTACATATGAGTCGGAAAAATCACATTGGTATTTGCCCGGGCCAGGATCGAACACCCGCACTCTCGGCAACCATTAGGCCACCACTGACATAGGCTTATGACGCTATCATAGAATAATGTACTGAATTTAAAATAGATAAGAAAAATTTGTTACATTCACAATAAAAAAATATATATTATCCGACAGAATCAATACGTCTATTCAACAAAACCTATATACTCTAAACATTAACGATCATATATATAAAATTTCAAAAATGTGCTTACATATAATGGAAGTAGAAAAGCATCTCTTCCATATAAAATTCATGAAATTCTTATTAAACCATTGGCGAGGTTTATATTGTAATAATTTGACCTTAAATTCTACGGAAGTACCTATTTTACTTCCAGTTAGTTATTTCACCAAGCAAAGTATTGATTATGCCGTGTTATATCCTTATCCTAAAAGATATTATAATTTTTGATAGTGTGATAATATCTATTAATTATTATAACTTTCCTTATGAAAAACAAAATTGCATCACATATTCTCAAAAAGGTAATTCTTATTATTTCTTATATAGAATATTTTCTTAATAAATAATTAATATTATTTTTTGGAAATTAAAATTGTATATCGAATTAATTCTACTCTAGTAGTATTCTTGTCTCTTTCTGTTATAATTTTTTTACTGTAACATTTGAATTTTAAGTGGAAACTTTATTGGTTTATGATCTAGAAATAATTATTTAATTTTATGTAATAATTCACTGTATGTTTCCCAAATATAAATAAAATTAAATTAAAATTA